CACAAGAAGTGAAGGAGTTAATATATCGGAAGTGGAAGCAGTATGTATGGGCTAATTTTTTTTAAAATATATTTTATTGATTTTTTGCAGAGAGGAAGGGAGATAGAGAGTTAGAAACATCGATGAGAGAGAAACATCGATGAGCTGCCTCCTGCACATCTCCTACTGGGGATGTGCCCGCAACCAAGGTACATACCCTTGACCGGAATCAAACCCGGGACCTTTCAGTCTGCAGGCCGACGCTCTATCCACTGAGCCAAACCGGTTTCGGCGGACTAATTTTTTAAAAGAAGTCTGGCAAAGAAGGGGAAAAAAGAGGACAGTAGTATCAGGGGGCAACAGGGATGCAAGAAAGCATTTTAAAATAAAGAGACTGGAGTAGGACTGTGGGGTGAGGGGAAGGGGAGGAGCCAATGAAAACCAGAAATATAAGACGTAAAGAATAATGGGGCACTAAGGCTCCAGAGAAAGGCTCAAGTAGAGGGATTTGCTTTGGACAAGATGTCTAGGTCCTTCCTCTTAGATAGGAGAGGAGGAAAGGATGTGTGGAAACAGACATCATCAGGTGATGAGAGGGAAATTTATAGATTTGTGAGGATGACTTTTAACTCTTCAACAAAGCAAGAGATGAGGTCAGCTAAAGAACATGGAGAAGGTTTGTCACTGATGTGATGGGGGATCTAACGAGAATTCAATTCCAGATTAAAATAATTACCAAAGCAGTGATGAGACCCTTTTCTGAGGCCTAAAATGCCTGAACTGGTAGTGGAAATAATTAAATCCACAATATAACCTTCAACAGCAGGGCTCAATAGCCCCCAGAGTCTCAAGTTTAGAGAATGGTAAATTGGGATGGTATGGTAACAAAGGACAAGGGACATAAGGTATTAGCAGTAATTGTTTTAAACTGAAAACACCATTATTTTTGCAGCAGCAATATAGGATGATTTAAGACTGAAGTTTAAAAGAATACCTAGCATGTGGATGCTATGTTCCCACTGATGTTCTTACCTACAGATATATTAGGATGTTTTATTATTCTAGTCTTTTTAACATTATTTCACCTCCTTTTAAAAAAAAGAGGTACCAAATCCACTAGACAGAATGACATAAAAAAGAACAATCTTGAAAACTTTCCAATGTATTTTCCTGAAAAGATAAATACTACAGGAATCCTCTTTGTTCATGCTTATAATGACTTGGTTGGGCCTTCCCTCTGGAAAACATATAGGTCTGGCTTTGAAATGCCCACAATGGAAGGTAAACTTTGCCTCCCTTCTGGGTGGTATCCAAGACTTACAGCTAAAATTTCAGCCAATTAGAGAGGTCATGGAACCTAAATGCAGCCACACTTATTAGATGCCCAGCTTTTGGGTGGCATGATAGCTAACACCTGTCCAAAGCTCATTTCAGAACCAGATATTTTTGAGAGAGTCTGATGGACATGCAGGGTATACAGCCATCTCAATTCTCCAAGTTCTGTCTCTGCACTGGTAAAACATCAAAAAGCAAAGTAAACAGATCTATTCTTCTGGTCCACACAGAAATACCTTTACTGAATAAAAATTAATGTGTGTTCTGTCTTTATAGAGGGTCTTGCATGGTGTCTAAGAATCTTTAGGTGATACTCTGCCTGAAGAATTGAATCACTATGTTCCTATCTTTTAGAGGAAATCCTAACAACAAATTTGTCCTTGAATTTGATCCAGGAAGAGGTATTATTTCTGAGTTATCAACTGAAAATGAAACCATATATATACACACACACTAATAAAAGAGAAAGATGCAAATTGACCGTACCTTCACGACAACCACCAGCCAATCAGGAGTGAGTATGCAAATTAGCCCAACAAAGACGGCAGGTTAATTTGCATACACAGGCGCTGAGCGGCTAGGGGTGGGGCAGGACACAGGCATTCCGCACCGCCCCAGCTCCTCCGGGCCTCTGGGCAGCGTGGGAAGGAGGAAAGGTGGCTCTGGGCCTGAAAGAAGGCAGAAAGGTGGCTCCAGGCTGGAGCAAAGGTGGAAAGGTGGCTCTGGCCGAGTGAAGGCGGTGCTGACAGCCAGGGGAAGGAAGGCCCATTATTGCACAAATCTTCGTGCATCAGGCCTCTAGTGTGTGTGTGTGTGTGTGTGTGTGTGTGTGTGTGTATATGTGTGTATATATATATATATATATATATATATATATATATATGAATGACACTTTTCTCATCTTATCAGCAGTCCTAATCCTAGAACCAAATTATACTGCCAAGGGTTGGCAACTACTTATTTGGAAGGCTTAAAAGCTTCCACTCCTTTAGCTTTCTTCACATCCCCTATATTCCATTCTATTTTTTAAAAGAAGTGTGTGGAATGACCAGGAGTGAGAGATACCAACCTTCAGATGGTGATTACCTTTGAAGTAAAGGGAAGATGGGAATTCTTCAGCTAGGTGTTGGATCCACAGATGGTTATGTTATCCTTTATAAACTTTGTTAAATATTTCAAAATAATTTTGCAAAATGTGTGGGGGTGGTGGTGGTGAATGATGTTCTAGGTGGAGAATATGTCCTGAAGGAAAATGCAGAGGGGAGAAAGCATAGGGCTTGTTTAGGGAACAAGCTTGATCCACAGTGTGTGGTGGAGCTGAATGATAACTAGAGCTGGAATATAGAGGGTAGAAGAGAAGGGGTGACAATGAGGCTGTATCCACATTACATGGAGAACAACATCAGATGTTTATTTCAAGAAGGGAAGTCAGATTACAGCATGTATGATGGATTAGAGAGATGAGTTGCGGGGGGGTGAGGGGGGGAGTTGCAGAGGACTGTAAGTACCTGGGCTAAAGAATCGGAAATGAGGAAGGAAAGGAGCCAATGAGAACTTCTGAGCAAAGGAATGATAAGGTTGTGAGAATGTCTTAGGGAGCTAGCAAGAATATAGTAGGAGAAGTTACTGCAATGGCCTGGGAGATAGGTGCTGGTGATAAGACCCTGGACTAGGGTGGGAAAACAGGACTAGAAAGAACTGGGAAAATGTGATGAAGACTGCAGAGGAGAAGGCAGGAGGGGATTAGAGATATGATTCTAGAGTGACTATAAGAAAAGTAACACCATCAAGAAAAACATAATGCCAAAAGAAGGAACTGGGAAGGGAGAAAGAGCTGAAGAATTTTGGTTCGGCCATATATCTGGGCTACCAGGTGGAAAGTCAAGAAATTTCCAGCAAGCAGTAAGAAATGAGAAACTGGGGTCAGAAGAAAGGTCAGCACTAGAAAATAAAGTCAAGGGCTGGGGAGGGAGTGTCTCGGGCAGTGATGGAGAACCTATGACATGCGTGTCAGAGGTGACACGCGAACTCATTATTCTGGTTGATTTTTCTTTGTTAAATGGCATTTAAATATATAAAATAAATATCAAAAATATAAATCTTTGTTTTACTATGGTTGCAAATATAAAAAAAAATTCTATATGTGACACGGCACCAGAGTTAAGTTAGGGTTTTTCAAAATGCTGACACGCCGAGCTCAAAAGGTTCGCCATCACTGGTCTAGGGAATGGGCTGGGTAACCTCTGCTTTACCTGTCAGCTGTTGTCAGATGGGATGAGAGTGTGTGGGAAAAGTCTTGGTAAATTCAAGAGCTTTGTTAACATATGGTGTTATCTGTAGAGAAGTGACTGGAGCCAGGGAGTAGATGAAGCCAAGGGGCAAAGAATGAATAGAGAGAAGTGTACTGAGGATTGGGAGTTGGCAAATCTTCCATGGGGAGGTAGAAAGTGGAGCAAGAGAGACCGATCAGACTCACATCATCACAAAATCTGTTCTGCCTCCTAAAGGACACTCTCCACAGTCTCTGTTCATTCTTTTTTTAAAAAAATATTCTTTATTGATTTCAGAGAGGGAGAGAGAGACAGAAACATCAATGATGACAGATAATCATCAATCAGCTGCCTCCTGCATGCCCCTGCTCAACCACTGAGCCATACTGGTTGGGCTGTACTCATTCTTTATCTTTAACATTTCACACCATGCTCTATTCCTTACTTCTTGAGATTTTTCTCTTCTACTGACTTTCACCAAAGCCTTCTGTCAGATTTTCTACTGCCTCTTCTTTCTCTTCTCCAGTGGTTCTTCTCTCCCCATCATGGAAAAATGTTCATGTCCCCTAGGGTTCTCTCCTCAGCCCACATCTCTTTGAGAGTAATCTTGTGGTTGTACATGATTTTTCCCAATAATGATATGCTAATAACTTTGGGAACCTTAGAGTCATGTTTCCTCCTGCTTCCAAGTTACTTCCACCTGGTTGTTATACTGCTGTAAGTCCACACATTCAGATTTATTTTCCCTGGGGTTTGTCTCCAACACATTCTTTCTCCTATAATGTCCATTTTGATGACTGGGAGCAGTCCCAATCATTCAAGCCAAAAAATCACAGGAATCATTCTCAACTCGAATATTTTCTTCATGTCTCTAATGGCCATGCAAATCCTGAATCTCTCAAGATTGTCCCCTCCTTTTTATTACAACTAGGGCTGTATTAGGCTCTTATTGCTTACCTGGAAAACAAAAATAACTCCCTTCCTCCAGTCTCTCTCTCCCTAATATATCATACATGCTGCAACCTGACTCCTCTTCCTGAAATACACATTTGATATGTCATTCTTTATATAACATGCATATAGCTTCATTGCCTCCCATTCTCCACTCCTCCCTCTACCCCCTATATTCCAGCTCCAATAGATCACTCAGCCATTTCCACTGTATATGGTATTTTTTTCATATTGTTGTACATGTGATATGAAAACTCTCTACCTGATATGTTCCCCCCACTTTCCCTTCTGTCCAGGAAATTGATACCATTCTTCAAGACTTGGTTCAAATATTACCTCCTCTGTAAAGCATTCTATGACTCATCACACAGTTAATCATCCTCTCCCTTGTAACCTCATAGCATTATACAACCACTGCAGACTTCGCCATGTTATACCACAATTACTCATCTCCACATTATTCACCTGGCATGATGTTAGATTCACCACAGGACTCAATGAAAGTTTCTGGAATAAAGATATGAACACATAAATAAGCAAAGAGTCCATTTGTCTTTCTCATCCTCTGTAGCACCTAAATTCAAAGTGTTCCTAGAAGGGAATCTAGAAGCACCCTTCCCATGGTAGTCTACACAGTGGTCAGCAAACTGCGGCTCTTTGGCCCCTCGAGTGTGGCTCTTTCACAAAATACCGACTTGTGCGCATGGGCCACGAAGTTTCAATCGCACTGTATGTGCGCGCCTGTACGTGGTATTCTGTGGAAGAGCCACACCCAAGGGGCCAAAGAGCAGCATGTGGCTCATGAGCCGCAGTTTGCCAACCACTGGACTACCAGATTACAAAGTATTACATGCCTAAAGTGGCCCCTCCTGGAGTCACAAGATCAACACCAAGCCAAATTACTGAGCACCCTCAAGATCAAAAGGTGGCTATGGATCTTTGAGATGTAGTCAAATTATAGTGATGAGGCCTGTTCCCTCCCGGATTCACTCATTGAATCCACTTTTATTGAGCACCTACTGTCTACTGGACACTGTACTAGCTAGGCACAAAGGGCCAAAAGGACTCACCATTACTTACGACCACAGACAAAGCAGCATATAAGTAAATCAGAATTCCTTTATTTAGCACACCCTGATTGAATACCTTCATGTGCCAGTCTCTGTCCTATGTGCTGAGGATAGACAAGCATTCCTGTCCTCAGACAAAGAACAAGATAAAGCAGTGAAATATATAAAATAGGAGATAGTGGCAGGTGCTCAGGAGAAACAAATAAACATGGAAGGGAGAGTGGAAGTTTTGGGATGGGTATTGCAAGTTTAGATAGAGTGGCTAGGGAAGGTTTCCTAACAAGTGTTAACATACAGTTATGAGAAAAAGGGCTCTGGAGACACAAAGAGGGAGTGATAATCTTCACAGGAAATTGAAGAAGGTTTCGGAGAGGACATAATTTTGAGGTGGCTTCTGAAAGGGCATTCAGGTATAGTGAGAACAGCACATGCAAGGGTACAGGGGCATGAGAGGGCTTCTCAGGCTGGGAAAAGGGAAGAAAGAGGCTTTGTGTAGTTTGAGAACAGTATGGGAGATGTGGTAAGAGCCAAGACAAGAGAAGTTAGGAGGATTTTTATGCCATATAAAGGAGAGTGGATTTTATTCTATGGGCAGAAGGGTGCCAACAAAGGTTTTGGAACTGAGAAGTAAGTTGATCAGCCTAGGTCTAAGGAGGATCACTCTAGAGGCATCATGCAGGCCAGAATGGTGGGGGAAGACCATGAAGGAGGGCCACCATGACAATCTAAGGAAATGACTGCTGTGCTTGGATAGCTGACTCGGAGTCAGACTGCACTTCCACTGCAGTGTTTACATACCTGAAACAAACAGGTGTCCACTTCAAAATGCCAGTGAGATGACAGCTCTTTGTCAAACAAAAAATTCATATTTTGCAACAGAATCCACAATTAATGCTGGGTTTTTTTTAATGCTTTTTTTTTTTATAACTTTAAGAAACATTATGATGACTGTTTTTGGGCTTCTATATAACCACGTAAGTGGCTTTCTTTATATGATGTTTTCTGGTATTATCTGCTTGCTTTTATACCGTGACTAAATGTTGTGTCCAATCAGTTAAAATGTTTATGTAAAACTTAGTGGAAGAAGAAAAAGTTAGAAGTCAGTGTCAAATGGGCATTTTATTCACCCATTCAGCACTAACCCCCACCTTCTAGAGTGCCATATGAAAAAAAATAAATAAATACAGCTTGCTGAGTGTTTTCTCAATTATAAAAGGACTATATGCTTCTTCCAAGTGGAAGGGGAAAAAACAAAGCATGCCTAATTCCATCCACTCTCCAAATACCCCAAGTACTAAAACTTTTGGTGTATTTCCTCTGGCTTCTTTTCTGCAGGTAGCTTTTGTTTGTTTTACATCATTAAGAACACACAATATACACAATCTTGTCTTAGCACCAGTTTCAGTAATTTTTCCAGTGCATCGTTAATGACAGCATAAAATGGAATCAGGCATATGTGTGGCTCAAGCCAAAAGTCTCAGAGGTGAAGGCATTATAACACTTGCATTAATTCTAAATTTTTGATGCATCTCCCCTATATTAGCATAAAATATTTTAATCTGTCCCAGTGTGACCTTGGGAGCTGTGCTGAATGACTCTAATCCGTACTTCACAGAAGCCACTTCATACATTCCAAGGTAGCTCTGTCATGTCTCCCTTTGTCTTCTTTTCTTCACATGAAAGATCAACATTTATTTCGATCATTGCTCATATTGCAGCACCTTTACTAGCCTGGTTCCCTTTGTCTGAACCATCCATCTCTAGTTTGTCAATGTCCCTCTTAAAATATGGCATCAGGATTTGAACACAACACTTCAGATGGGACTACCATCTCATTTTGTCTCGCCGTTATTATACTTTTCTTAATTCACCCTATAGGTCTATAAGTTTTTAATCAATCATGTACAATTACTGGGTCAAATAAGAATGGGCCGCTGTTGAAACAAATCTCTTCCATCTTTATTGATACAACTGTAAATGTTATTTATGCTAAAGCGAGATTCCCCCAACAGTCTCACTGTCTCCTGTGTAAAAGCTGCTGTTGGGCTCTCTTCCATGTACCCTGGACCTATTTACTTCCCCTTGGTCCATCTCATCAAAGTAAAGCTGTCCCTTCAGGCCAGCCTGGGCAATGGCGACCCACCACGTCTACTAATAGGTCCTTCTGTGATAATCACAGAGGCTATTCACTCCTTCTTTCTCTTCTGGAGCATATTGTCTCCATCTCATCTTCCCACCAGTGGAACATTACTTAAAATGTTGTGGTAAACATTTCGTGGCTCTAGAATGAAAAGGTAGAGTGGCATTAAGCCACACCATAGCTAGCCTAGTTCTAAACTGCTACCTGATGCTCTGTAATCGAACACTTGAAAAGTTCTACAGAGGTGGGCCTATACAAGGGATTCACATCAGTATCCTCTTCTGTGATGTTTTAAAAATTACAACTGTGCTTGGACCGAAGAGCTACATGTTCTGATGTAATAAATCTAGGACATTGTAGTGTTTTTAAGCTCCACAGGTGAATTTTCTCTGTGCTTCTTCTAAAGAACCACTGTTCTATACCTACCTAACTTCTCCAAACTAGCAAATGGGTACAGTTATTAACCCCTCCCCACTACTATGAGAGACAAAACTTATTTTTAACTCTATTCCTACATATATAGGTGTTAGTGTAAAATAAGCTTTGCATAAGCCAAACATTAAGAGTTGAGAAGCAAATGTATCCCCCATGTTAATCTGAGCCACAGTCAATTTTGCAAGGTAGAAGAGAAACAGTTTAGCATTATCTTTAACAGTTAGGGTCATCTTTACGGTCTTAGATTCTACTTACCGTTTCCAAACTTCTTAAATAAAGACGATAATTTGTGATGTAAACTCTTCCCTTAATGGGGCCATTGAAAGGACATATGTAAATAACTTCTTTGTCTATTAAGATAAAAAAAGTACCCTAAAATAATGGAAATATATACCAAGATATACAACAAATGGCACTAATTTAATATAAACTATTTGGCTAAGAATAACTACAATAAAAATTACTGAAAAGTTTGAAAGCAAGCATTGGCAATGTTTCTACATTACCATGCTTGGTCCAGTGAGGCCGTTAGGGAACGAGTGGGGCCACACGTCACCTCTAGGCACTAGTGGTGCTTCTCTGAGCTTGCCCACCATGTTGTCACTACCTGGGGCAAGGGGATAACAGCTGGAGAGCAGAAGTGAATGAGGATACTGATGCTGCTACTCTCAAGAGGTTATAAAGGTAACTGCTGAGCTATTTCAACCAGAGCGTTGCAATTCTGTAGGACAGTCTCATGGACTAACCACTAGATAGGGTTTGAGGTTTGCCAACCTCTAATTATACAAACATAGTGATGTTTTTAATAAATGAATGTCAGCAGTAGAGATGTTTCAATAGTCTACTCTTTCTCTTTTAATAGTCCAGATGAGAGTTTAGCTAGATACATCTCAAACATTTAAATGATATAAAACAGATGGCCAAGAGAATAGTACAATTTTGGTAGAATCAAAGATAAGAAGAAACTAAATTAGGAGAGTTAATTTATTATAAAAATGTATCTTTCTCTTATCTTTCAAGGATGTCCTTGAATGTGTTAATGGCTTTTAATTTTTTAAAACAAACTTGAAATCCCTTTCTCCTCAGGTGCTAAATGAAAAATACCCGTAAGGCTACCTCATGCTAATTCAGTTACTACACACCAATTAAGGTTTTGGCACTGATACAGAGCACCAAAACTTCATATGTGAAAATCACCAAAAGTAAGCTATCCTCTTTGCTCTTATCCAGAAATTGGAATTCTTGCAAGTCAGTGGACATGAAATAGTTTCTCCTGATGCATGGTTAACTAATTCACAAAGGCATCATATCTATGACCTTATTCTAATTAGCACCATCCATTTAAACTAAACAACCAAGATCTTAATCAATAAAGCAAAAGGTTCCCTGAAACAATGCTAACTATATTATCACCAAATATATGGGAATCTGAGAGGGAGTCGACCCTAATGTAAAATGTGAAAGCCTACAATATCAGCCCTTGGCTTAGAAGCTGTCAGATGTGTCTGTATTCTTAAACCAGAATAATCTGGTTCTTCCACAGTAGATACCTTCCTCTTAATATAAATTTATCATGAAAAAAATAAGTCAACGATAAAATTATGACATCAATATTACTAACTTCAGTTATCTGGCAAATGAAAGCTATTTTAAACCATTATGGTTTCCTATATTTCAAAGAAGAGAATACTGAGATTTTAAGCCTTTAACTTGATCATTTTAAAGCATATCATAAACTAGAAAACCTTAATATCATTTTGTCCTTATAACCGCAAGCCATGAGAGCTTATCACTCCAATAAGTAACTTTCAAGAGATAACCCACATTTTCCCCCCAAAATAATTACGTCTTTGATACAGAGAAAAGTATATCATTATCCTGGAGAGCACAAAGCTCTTGAAAGAACTCTTTGATCAAGAAACTAATGCACAGAGTTCTCTCCATATTAAGACTTTTAAACAAAGCTAGCTTATTTGTCTAAATTTGACTTCCAAGAGCATGAGGAATAGAAGTCACCTGATCCTGCTGGACCTCTCACCAATTTATGCAAATCCTAACTTCACAGGATCCTTACCAGTAATGCGAATTTCTCCTGGAAGTCGAGGAACAGCCTCACTGAGATCCCGATTGACTCCATCCCTAGAAGTCTGTAAATGAAACAGTGGCATCAGAAGTAATCACATTACACTTGCACAGGTTTTCAAGCAACCTGAAAAACAACTGACCAGAAATATACTTTATAAAGGAAAAAAAAATCAGAGAAATACTTATCATTATAGAATACTGGAACAGAAAATTTAAACTAAAACATACCCTTAACATTCATTAGCAGTGATAACTTTTAGTCTGCAAATAATATTAGCATGCTTTTAACTAATATTAATTTTAAACACCCCTTCCAAGCACTTCACCATTAACAGCATGAAGAAAAATGACAAAAAGTAAATATTAAATGTCTTCTATAGATACATGTATACTGTGACAGTTTTCTTTCCCTATTAAATATTTAGTCATTTATCTTTTTTGTTAAGAGTAGAAATGAAAACTTCTTTCAATGGGGCCTTACCTGAGCCACAGTAATCACACTCTTCTTACAATGCCAGAAAATAACCTTTATTACATATTGGGTTTCTTATTTTACTAAGATCCTTCCTCACTTAGGTAACTTGATAAGAGGAAAGGGATCTGTCATTGGACTTTGGAGCTGACAAGAGGCTTAGGTACCATCTACACAAATACTTGCCATGTCTCTAGGCCTCCTGGCTTCAGAGTTATTTCCAGACCTGTGCCTTATTCAATGGCCACAGCAGCTCCCTCAGGGAGGCAAGTAGTAACCACTGAAACCCAGAGGGAAGTTCTAAGTGTAATGTGATATAATTGGCCATTGTGACCCAGATGCCTGGTTAGGTGTCTCTCAATCTATTCAACTGCCATAGTGGATTCATAGCAATGATGGGCTGGCTATGTCCACTTTAGGGCATATGAGGCACATCATTAAAATCTGTTTGAGCAAAAGGTTTTTTTCAGCATTACTTTTCATTCATTTTTTTCTAGTTGTTTTCCAAAATGTCACACTGTAATCATTTCATGTGTGAAGTTAGTTAATACTTCCCTCAAAGGGGTTTTGTGAATGTATTAAGTGAAACGAAATTCATAAGCACACTTTTGTGAATTATCAAGGGCTATGTAAAGTATTAACAAATGAGAGAAATGCGAATTGTGTATTTAGGTAATATATAAGCTATCAAAGAGGGGTGCTTTCCTGAATTTTTAATGGTTATATCTTTTTTATTCAGGCACAAAATAAAAATTCTTAGCCAATTTTCAGTATGTTTTAGTGCTTGCAAGCTAAGCATTTTTAACTAGGAGGACAAGACAAGTTGTCCCCAGCCAGGAATGCCTTCCTCAATAAGGAGCAAAATCACACACCTTATATAAATTAGACTGGAAATAAATTACCATCATCCTTTAACACCACCTCTCACTAACTAAAAACAAGGATAATGAGCAAATTTAATATTCAGTATGCCTTTGAAATACCACAGTTCTGGGTCAGAAGAAAGCATAACTCAAGCACAAAATAAGGAAAACAAATGTTTGATTAACACAGGATAACATGAAATTAGCATAGGATATACTTTATTTTAATGTTTTACCTTATTGGAGTTATTTTTTTAAAAATATATTTTTATTGATTTCATAGAGGAAGGGACAGGGAGAGAGAGAGAGATAGAAACATCAATGATGAGAATCATTGCTCGGCTGCCTCCTGCACGCCCCCTACTGGGGATTGAGCTGGTAATCCGGAATTGAACCTGGGACCCTTTAGTCCCCAGGTTGATGCTCCATCCACTGAGCCAAACCAGCTAGGACTACTTTTGTGTTTAGAACTGATTCTTTACTAAACACAAACATTACATTACTAAAATACAATAAAAATTTATGTAATCTTGGTGAGTAAAGGGTCCTTATAAACATGATACCAAAAGCAGAAAATATAAAATAAAAGCTTGGTAGATGTGTTTACATAAAAACTTTAAACCTGTGACTTTCAAAATAAAAATAAAATATTATAATATACTTAGACAAAATGTTGTAAATATAATTAAAAGATTGACAATAAACTAGGTGAAAAAGGTGAAGGGGAATAAGATGTACAAACTTCCAGTTATAAAATAAGTCAGCCAAAGAGATCTAGTGTACAGTTCAGGGAATATAGTCAACAAAAACAAAAAATAAAAATTAGGACAAAGACTTGTAATGTATATTATAAAGAGTTGGTTATAATATATAAAGAACACTTATAAATCAATAGAAAAAGTCCCCCAAACATTCCAAAGGCAATTAGGCAAAGCACGTGAACAGTCACTTCACAAAATAAATACAAATAAACAAAAAGCACATTTTCTTATTTTTTAAAAGACCAACCTCGTTAGTAATCAGGGAAATACAAATTAAAAGACATCAGTTTGCTCCCTTCTGATTGCATCCCCCTACATGGCTATTAGGAGTGTAAATTAACCTTTGCGGTGGATAATCAAGAATATGTATCAAAAGCCTTAAAGGGCCATGAATAAAGCTTATTTTAAATTGATCCCTTACTTCCAATTTACGTTCCAAAATCTTCCTCTAGTTATATAAATTTTCTCCTCAATACTTTAAACCATTTTCTGTTAATGTTGTATTTATTTCAGTCATGCAACTATTTTATCATCATAATTAGAAAATAATGCCAATATTCAGGAGGGTTTTCCAATATCTCTTTCAGAAAACTTTCAGGGGAGAGGGACTGCCTATAACACAAATGTAATATTCACAACACAGAGAATCTAAAAAATGAAGTTACATGAAAGGATTTACAAACTAAACTCAAATAAAACATATAAGGTAGCCTGTTTTTTTCTAGAACAAGGTGGGATAATAAATAAAACCACATGTACTGAAGTATTTACATTATGTGAACGAATAATGTAATTAATAATTCAATAAATTTAAAATGACTGCCTAATATGAAAAGAGAAATGCAGAGAAAGAGATGGGATAAATCTGAAAACACGACTTACCCTCTTAATAGACTCATTTTCCAAGGAGCGTGAATTATATTTAGAAGTTGGTGCAGAAGCCATACTGGAACTCTACCAAGAAAGACAACATTCAATATCAATGGAATTGTATGCAATTTCAGACATATGTAACAAATGTTGGGGGTCCATCTGGGTCATGGCTGTATCCTGCTATTTAAATATTGTAATTGAGAACCAACAGTACTACACTTTACAGTCCCTATTTCCATTGTAGTCTCCAGTGGGAATGACACACACAAAAAACTAAGCACAGTACCAGTCAAGGACAGAGCTCTGGGAAAGGTGCAGGGCACTATGGAAGAACAGGAAAGGGCAGCTAGCTATGTATGCATGCGGGAGCCCAGAGGAAGATAGCACACATATTCCTGGATTTTTTTATTCATTGCACTCATAGTCATCTAAAAGAATTTAATGTTTAGCAACTGTGCAGCAGGCCTCAAATTTCCACATTTCTTAATTTTTAAAGATTACTTAGAGGCAGCAGAGCAATAAAAAGGGTAGACAATTGAACTCACAGTATTTCCCCCTTTAAGAATTCTATTTTTGTCTTAACTGGTTGCTCAGTGGTTAGAGTATTGGCCCAAGGATTATAGGTTTGTGGGTTAGATTCTGGTCAAGGGCATGTACCTCGGTTGCAGGTTCAGTCCCCAGCATCGGTTGGGGCCAAGTGCGGGAGGCAACCAATCGATGTGTTTCTCTCACATCAATGTTTTTTTCTCTGTCTCTCCCCATCCTTCCACTCTCTTTAAAAATCAATGGGAAAAAATATCCTCAGGCGAGGATTAACAACAACAACAACAACAAAAGAATTCTATTTTCTTCAAATTAAGGCAATTTAAAGTGGCATGAATTTGATAGAAATCAAATTAGTAAGATTTGATTTAATCAGTATTTTCTAAGGAAAGCATACATTTACTTAATTTAAATAATGAATATTCATCACAAGTCAGACATAAATGAAAGCATCATGTCAGAACATATACAACGTTATAATGCAAGATTTACACTTGTGAAGATTATCACAACAGGAATCTAAGTAATGTTTCAGTTATTTTATTAATCAAAGTTAGTGACAGAGAAGTACACTGAAGCTACAGGGAGGTACACAGCATTCAGTTCAACAAACTGACTGTTGTTATTTGTGGGATCTTTTCCCCAGGCTCATTAAATGAGTAACTACTTACTAACAAAATGCAGCATGGAGAATATCAACACACCTTAGCACAAAAACTAGTGATCTGATAGCTTTTCGGTGCCAATCACTGTCATTAAGTAAGGCCCAAGAGAGATGACAAGATGCAGATAAGCGTAACCATGGGAATGAAGAGGCAGAGAAATGGTCAGGTGAGGACAATCTTATAAGATTAGGACTATCAGCCCCCCATCCTCAGAATTGAGCTCTCTAAGGCAAGGCTGGGGGTCCATCTGGGTCATGGCTGTATCCTGGCACACAGTTGATACTCATAACTATTTAGTGAATGTGCAAAACACACAATAATTGTGAAACATCATGATGGGGTTAGATGGTATATTGGTTCACCAAATCCCTGAACACTGAAACTAGGGAACTACTGCTGAGACATAAAAATGAACAATTAGGGCAAAGTACAACACTTCTTTATAAAAAGGGATACTAAACTTCAAAAACCTGAAACTCATACTAAGATGTGGCACAACCTAAAATTAGAAATAACTTTTTAAAAAGATTAATGAATAACTCTAAAATGAATTAAATTCTGACAGAATATCCTTGAAAAGCTTCTCTAACCTTAAATTCAAATCCAAGCAAAATAACCCTTTATTCTGAGATAGGAGAATGAATGAGATGGACTAGATAGAGCAAGTCAGATATTTTTGCCCTAAAACTATTCTATTGACTAAATAAGATTATATATTTAGGGAATTTCCTTCAGTAACAGATACAAAATTACTTTTTAGTAATCAAATACTATAATATTTAAATCATTTAAAAAGTCAATGTTTTCGCTGAAACCGGTTTGGCTCTGTGGATAGAGCGTCGGCTTGCGGACTGAAAGGTCCCAGGTTCGATTCCGGTCAAGGGCATGTACCTGGGTTGCGGGCACATCCCCAGTGGGAGATGTGCAGGAGGCAGCTGATCGATGTTTCTCTCTCATCGATGTTTCTAACTCTCTATCTCTCTCCTTTCCTCTCTGTAAAAAAATCAATAAAATATATTTAAAAAAAAAAGTCAATGTTTTCAAACAAAAGTTAAATTATTACTATCAAGTCAACAGAAGAAATTAAAAATGTTGGGTTATGTAGTCAATTCAGTCTTCACCTTCCTGTTCCTGTTTATAAACCATAAAAGATTAATCTTCCTATTTTCAATACTCACTTAAATTTTTCAACTTAAAATGAACTAAATATAATAGAGGAAAGTCCACATTTCCCCCTTATTTTTAACTACCTTATTGACACATAACTCAAATATTGTACAACTCACCCTCTTCAAGTGTACAATTTAATGGCTTTTAGTAATGGCTCTTCAAGAGTACAATTTAATGGTTTAACCGCAGTAAACCTTAGAACATTGTCCTCACCCCAAAGGAGAAATCCCGTACCATTATTAGTCACTCATCACTCCCCATTCTCCCAGTCCCGAAGCTATCACGAATTTGTTCTCTCTACAGATTTGCCCATCCTGGACATTTTATATAAATGAATTCATATAATATGCAGTCTTTATGTCTAAAGCGCTCATTTTAGAGTTATATTAACTGCTACTAAAAGTTAGACCAAGTACAAATCTGAGAAATCCAAGGGCCCAGGTAAGTGGGTCAGTTTTGAGATGAGGTTCGCTATAAAAGCTCATCAGTGAACCTCTTTTTGTTGAATGGTTCCAATTATTCCTGAAATACACAGAAGCTGGAACAGTATGATGCTGGAAAGCATAGATGTTGGAGCTGACTCAATTCAAATTCTGACTCTGCATCTCAGTATTTGACCTTGGGAAGGTTATTTAACTTCTCTGGCCTTAGGTTTTAGAACAGTGCCTGGTATATTTGTTAAACAAATTATTATCATTTTTTTCAATTACGAAAGGGTAATTATTGAATGCTGACACCATAATCTATTCTACAAATTAGTCCTGACCCTATAAATACTAGGAAGAAAGTTAATGACTATCAGGATAATGCATTGCTGGTAGTGACCTAGCTATAAAGCTTCTCTTTAAAAAGTACATGAAAATAATGTCTCATTAGGACCAGGGAAAGCAGTATAGTGCTGTGGAAAATGTACTAGATGGACGAGCACAGGCCCTAGGCTTTCTTGAACTTATCAAGCATGGAAAGTTCATCTATACTTTCATCTATAAAATATCTACATTGGTCTAAACACAGTTCAATAATAATTAGAAACTATAGTGAAGTTTACAAAAGTCAGCTACCCTTTGGGTTATAGAGTATTTTGCTCAAAGCCTCTAAAGCTCGTTTTAATCCTTTTTGTTCAAAAAACATTTGAATTGAGGTTACCTTGGCTTTAAAGTGAAAATCGAAACGTAAGTCTATATATATATATATATATATATATATATATATATATATATATATATATGCTAATTACAAGATTCTAACCAAAGGTAGACAGACTTCTATCATTTTTGACCCTGAAAAACAACTTTTGTTATGATTTAAGCCCAAACCTCCCTATTATGGAGATGAGCAGGAGAGCCTAGAGAGTGTGTGACAAGGCCCTGGCATGAGTTAGTGGCAAGGCTAGCTCTAGCCTAGGTCTCTTGACCAACACTGCAATGTCCTTTCCACCCAGAGAAAAGAGCTTCCAAATGGTCTCTATTTTTAAAAGAAGACAACAACAACATGTTAGATGTGACTGGTCCCAAGTTCAGCAGAAAAGGAGTTTTAGACTAAGAATCATAGTTAAGAAAATAACTCATTTAAGCAAGAAATCTTTGGGGCTGCCAACTCCCTTCAAATAAAGGCGGCATTATATAATAAATCAAAACTTTAAGTCACAACATGGCCTTAATTGTGTTTCTCCTTAAATTCAAGACAAATAACCTCAGTGGTCTCATGGTATTCCCTTGTCTGTCTCCCCCAGTTTCCCACCCTCCTCTCTACCACCTCTCTCTCTGTCTTTGTCTTCTCTCTGCCCCTCTCCAGATCTTCTTCCTACCACTTACCAACTTTCAGATATCTGTTGTTATCCTCTACCTCAACCAATCAGAATACAAACCCCCACCAGAATACAAGTTCCCACCAGATGGGGATTCTGGGCTGTTTTATTTATTGCTCCATTTACAACACCTGTAACAGTGACTGGCTGACACCCAGTAGGTACTTGATAGGCATTTGTTAAATGAATGTATGAACTGGGCAATAACTGCTATTTGCCCAATGTTTCATTTAAGGCAGAAATTCATGCAAGCTTAAAAAATGGTAGAACAAATCTTTGCCTAATCAAGGCATGATGGCCCTGGGCAGCAGAATGGCAGCATTAACTTATGCCTCCTTGAGGCAATAGCACTAAAAAGAACTTGAATACTACCATACTACTTCCTAAGAAATAGACATTTCAAATTAAGGCACCCAAACCTCTTCCATCATGCCCTTCTTCCAGACTAAGAAACTATTCTACTCTCCACTGAATATGAAAAATAGGACTCAACAAAACACCTGCAGCAGACATAAGTATAAACACGTTCAAACAAATGAGGACCATTTTTACCCTCTTGTAAAAATCTAAAAGCAGTAGAACCAGAAAATAAGTTTGACTTCTACTTCACAGAGCCTTTGCAAGCAAAATCTAAACTCCAATGGGAGCTCTAGTTTACATGGTCGCCTGATCAATGGGCCTAAATTAGTGGTTTTACTGAACTTTCCATGTAACAACAGAGACAAAAGGCATGCAGGTCTTCTTTTGTTTTTTTTTTGTTTTGTTTGTTTTTTAATCAGTGTGCTTTCTTACCCTGTGTTCACATTTAAATGAAGTTTAAGAATGGTCTTTCTCTGGAGCAGGGGTCGCCAACTGGTGGTTCATGGACCACTGGTGGTCTGTGAGATCCAAAAGGT